GTTACAGGAAAGATTAAGGCTGAATTATAGTAAATATCAGTAATCATGTTTATGCCTAACTAGCTAACCCTTATTAGGTTTTTTTAAGTACAGAAATAATGTTGTATATCAGAAATGTAATTGAGTGTAATTACTGCTGTGTCAATCAGTTGCCACAACATGATAACTGGAGATTCTCAGTCTGCAGTTATCCAGAGGTAAAGGCTAGTTGGTGCTTGAAGACAATCTACTGTTCTGTTATTACATACTTTTTGTAACTGTCCTGTCTAGGCTTTCTACATAGCTCTAAGTTATCAGTTGGCCTTTCTGGGAAAAGGGCTGTAGTTCTTGAGGCAAGGCATTGTTTTCATTCTGTTTTGTTATTTAAATCAACTCAGCTCCTGATAATTACATGGATGCTTCCATGGGGTTTTCTTGGCAATAAGAGACATGTGCTTTCTCATTGCCTTATTTCTGGATGATTTTTTAAAATTTCTCTTCAGTTTTGGGGTTTTCTTAAGTGTTTCTTCAAACACTAATCAGGTTCAACCCTGGTTTTAAGCTCAGATGGAAGAAGATAACAAAACAATTGTTGATCAAGGCAGAAATATCCAAAACTGTTTCTTGAACATGTGTGAAAATGGCTCACAGTACAAGGGCCTGAATTAATTCTACTTATTCATAGCTAGTTTTTGAGAATGTTTAAAGCTAATTTAGGATATATAATAGTTACAATATACTTGTACAATATACTTTATCTACTGTAGTTGTATGCCTTCTGAATAGAGTGAGGGAAAACCTATGGGACTGTTAAATTTAGGCTTCATCTGTCTGTCTATATTGCAATATCACTATAGCAACCAAACATAAATCAAGAAAATAGCCCCTTTTGTAAGTTTGTTAATAGGCACAACATGCTTCTTTAGAAAACCCAACTATTCTTTCAATGGACTTTGATTGAAAGTCAGCCTTTTCTACAGACACATTCACATTCACATCTAGTAGCAGCTTGTATGGCTGTCCAAGGCCTAATTTATTATCCTTTAAAGATTGTATAAAGAAAAAAATGGTTCTCAGAACAATGTTTATATTCAAAGGAATAAGCACAGGACCACAAAAGAGCATCCTTTTGTTCTTGGTGTGGAATATTAATCTTTAACTTCTTTGATCACACCATCTTCCAGAAAGCTTTTTGTGTTTGGTTACCCATATTCTTGCCTTGTAATGGAGATTTTGGCTACATCATCATCACCACCATCATCATTTTTCTACCCATTTTCTACCCCCACTTCCCAATGGAAAGGAATGCTCCCTGACATTCAAAGTTTTGGTTTGAAGTTTTCTTAGGGCCACGCTGAACATTCTTACAGAAGATCCTTGAATTCTCCGTGCCCTAATTATTTTAAAAGAGTTGAGAACTTAAAATAAAATAAGGCGTAGGTATGCAAATGAAGAATCAGTTCTCCTGCTTCCTTTCCTATAGCCTTCTGTTTAAGTATTTTTCTCCCAGCAAAGCTATGCCTTAATGTATGAACTTTACATTGGACAGGGAATGCCTGAGGCAGCATAATCTGTACTTACTCATTTGCCCTTTTCTTAAATTAAAAATGCATTTTTAATATTTCTGTGCTCTTCCTTTTGCATTTGCAGCAAATCTCTCCTATCATGTAACTCAGCCAGAAGTGGTCAAAGGCAGTTGGCTACCTGAGGTCTTCCACCCCTTCTCCTAATCACGTTGTATTGAACTCAGTTACTCGGAAACTGATGTGAGACCGAGAATCACAAAAAATAGCTTCTAAAATACAGTAAATGAAAAATAGCTTGCTCTTGGTTGCCATTTCATAACACTTTCTTTGCCTTGAGATTGGCCCACATTCAGCAGACAATTTGAAAAACAGAAAGCAAGTCTTCTTTCAGCTTCATATCACTGCAGAGAAGAGTGTGGGTATTTGTGACTGATGCATAATTTCCAATCCCTGTGAAAACCGCAATAGGAAAAAAATATCCCTAGTTTTATCAAGTCATCAAGATGTCAGAATCTAAAAAAAAAGTCAGGAAGGAATGCAATGAAAATAGCCCAGAGCCTTTGATGCAAGAGGGGGAGTTAGCGATCATTGATTCTAAGACAAGATTTTGCTTAAAGGCATTTCAAAATAATTTGTTTTTCTGTTACTTTCTCACGGGGAACAAAAATAAGGGAAAAATCTTTGAGGTACAGTTAATATAAGAGTTATTAACCTTTGGTTGTAAATATCAGAAAGTAGAGTAGAAATAATATTACTTTAAAGAAAATCAAACTTACAACAAATAACAATTATAGAAATATTCTCTATTCTAGGATTCAAGTGGTTTCTAAGAATAGGCAACTAGTGAAATTCTTAAGTAGGATATGACCCTACTGATTACATTCAGACATTAAATGTTATGATGAACTATAAAAAAAAGTCTATTTCAAGTCAAGGTCAACTTCTGGGGCTTGCATTGTCAATTCAGAAACCTTTTGCCTTTCCAATTTTGCCAGTACTTGCATTTCTGAGTCTTATTTCCCCAAATACCTCCCTAGCAGGTCTGACCCTATTTAGTTTTTTTCAAGATCTTAAGATCATCTAGATGTTGCTAGTTATCATAGTGTTATACCAGGAGTGGCATACACTTTGCCTACTGGTTTGCAAATATGAGCATGCACATGTGCTTTTGTTGTAAAAATGACCTAAATGGGATGTCATAGAGCTGGGCATAGGTGGGCGGAGCCACCCACGATTTCTGCTACCAGTTTGGGTTATCTGGATTTGAGATGAGAAATGTTTGCTTTTATTTTCACTTACCATTGTGTACACATCTTAAATTCTAGTTTATTTTAATATTTTGAAACAAATTATCACCACCATGATTTGGAAGTTGGTTTTGATTTAGACTAACCTAATATAGCTTAAAATATTAATGTCTGGAATTGCAAAAAATTCTAAAGCAAAACTTTCTAGAAATAGATAGCAGAGTTTTTAATCTTTCAAATCCATGGATGCCTACGTTTGGATTATAAATATGTGAACTCATTACTAGAGTTAAATGTAGCTCCTGTAATGTACATTTTCATCCTTAAAGAGAGTCAGTCAAGACTGTATATATGTTATGCAGTTGAGATATCATAAAATGTATAGTTGTATGTAGATGAATTATTTCATAATTCCCATTTACAGGTTTTAGCAATTAACCATGATGTTTTTAGTTTTATTTCATTAATGAATGTTTGGTATTTATAGCTATAGTCATAATAAGGTAATCTGTTGTTCATGGATAGGCAACTTATTTCAGTAATGCTTGATGAACATTGGTATCCACCAAGCTTCCCTCACAATCTGACTTTATAATTATTTAAGTGCTCCATTTTCGGCACTCGATGCTACTGTTTTGCCTTAACATTAGTTTATATATGAGAATGTATCAGCATTGTCTCAAAATCATACATCATTTCCCCAAAGTTGTCTAAATCTTCTGCAACTGTTCTGAGGAGAACATATTTAAATATTAAATTGGATGAACAACCACAGGAATAGCAAAGACAGTATAAAGTGTGTACTTTGTCTTCTATTTCATAAATTCTCATTATCCAAGATGTATCTTAACAGTTATAAACATGCATGACATGGGCCGGAGGGATATAATCATATAACTCATGCAGTACTTTGTAATATTTTCTTTTGACTGATGTTTATTATATAGAGAGGTGTGTTGTAATTGAGTTCTGATTAGGAATGACCCCTAATGTCAGGCATGTTTGTTTTTTTAATTTAGTTTTTTCTGCTCCCAGGAATTTCAAATAGTGTCCCATAGGTAATTTTTCCAAAATTAGTATATTGTATATATGTTGGCACTATAATTCCATAATGTTCAGAATTGCCAATCTGAGAATTACAATAGTTCTCAATGTACAACAGTTCATTTATGTAACTATTCAAAGTTACAATGGCACTGAAAAAAGTGACTTATGACCATTTTTCACACTTACAAACATTTCAGCGTCTCCATGGTCATGTGATCAAAATTAAAATGCTTGGCAACAGATTCATATTTATAACATTGGCAGTGTTCCAGGGTCATGTGATCAGCTTTTGCAACCTTCTGAAAAGATAATCAATGGGAAAACTAGATTCATTTAACAACTGTGGTATTGACTTAACAACTGCAGTGATTCACTTAATTGTGGCCAGAAAAGTTGTAAAATGGGGCAAAACTTACTTAACAAGTGTCTGTTTTAGCAACATAAATTTTGGGCTTAATTGTGGTCATAAATATAATCTCAAAAATTAGGGATGATGGCTTGAAATCATATTTGTATTTAAAAGATTAAACTGAGCCAATCTATCAAATGTGTGTGTGTGTGTGTGTGTGCGTGCGTTTTATTTGTGCTGATAAATAAATAAAGGGATACTAGTATAGATCTATTTCAAGCTATTTAGCTCTCATCAGCTAGCCATACCCTTACTGGGATTCAAACCGTTTTTTATATATATATATATATATTCTGAAAGCATTAATGTTAACCTCACAATGTGATTAGGCTGGGTACCCACTGTTTAGCCATATAGGCCGCATTACTCAGCGACCAATTATACCAAGCAAGAGCTGGTGTCTTAAGAACTGTAGTACGCTTCAGCTGGACACAGAAAGACTATGTAGAATTAATAATAAAGCACACCCACCCACACAAACACACCGAGAGGGAGGGAGGGAGGGAGGGAGGGAGAGAGAGAGAGAGGGAGAGGGAGGAGAGATGTTTATATGATAATTTCTGTCTCTGAACTGCTTTATTTTAATTTATTTTAATTTTTATGTTACGTGTTACAGATGAACTTGATCATATCTAGTGTTTAACAGGTAGTTTTTTGCTCTGAAGTGAGTGTATGTGTATTAGAAGTCGCAATAGGAGGGAGGAAATAGAAACATTCATTTTTAATCTGTTTACCCTGAGAGATTGCCAAGAAATTATTCATCCCTTCTAATTCATTTTTTTTCCTTTTCAGCTATGGGACAAAGGATTGTTGAATATATACCATTATCTAAAAGTAAGTTCTATATTATTTATTTGAACTGAGATAAAAATACTGCACTTGTTGTGTAACCTAGTTGTGTCATGCTCTATAAAAGCATTCAGTCTTTACTGTTTTCTAAAAACTTGTGGAATTTTCTTTATTATGCAACCACTTTTATCTTCTTCGAATTTGAAGTTCCACCAATAAATCATTGCCCATTGCTTTTATACTATTTTCTGTACATATTGTTCAGTGTTGCATAGTGTATTTTCAATTATATTCAAGACGTTTTTTAGTATTTTTTTCCTTTTCAGTAGTTTTTCCTTAAGGACAAATATGGTTGTGGTGGTCTCATTCAGTCCTGGAGACAGTTAGAGCTTAATCCACAATCCAATTAAGGCCAAACAATTGGAGGTAAATTTATATAATGAGAAAATATATCTTCTGCTGTAAAATAAATGAAAAAATGTAAATACTAAGGAAAACCTTACTTTGTTTGTTTTTATCTTTTTAAGTGTCATACATATAGGCAGCATAATGACCACATTTAGGTGTAATGAAAAACTAAGTTATTTAAAATATGAACAGACTTTAGGTTTGCTCCTCCAGGTACATGTTATGAAGATATTCCTGTTTCATTTTCATTAAGTTGTAATTCACTGCCATGTGTTTCTGCTTTATTGAAATAACCATGTTTTCAAGTTGGTTTGCTTAACCATATACATATAATACTAAAACTGAAATTAGTTCAGTCTGCTGAAGAAGAGAAGCAGTTTGAGATTCACTTCTTGGTAGGATTGCAATAATCCAGCCTTGAGGTGACAAGGGCGTGAGTAACCGTTTGAAGTGCCTCCTGATCCAAATAGGGCCGCAATTGGTGCACCAGGCGAACCTGGGCAAAGGCCCCCTGGTCACAGCCGACAGATGGTGTTCCAGTATCAGCTGCAAATCCAGGAGGACCCCCAAATTGTGGGCCCTCTCTGAGGGGTATAAATTTTCACCCCCCAGGATTAAGGATGGACTGTCTAGGCTGTCCTTCGTGGGCAGAATCTAAAGCCACTCAGTCTTATCAGGATTGAGTACAAGTTTGTTCACCCCCATCCAGATCCTGACAGCTTCCAGGCATCGGCACATTACGTCTGAGAGCTGGCACGGGGCAGATAGATACAGTTCTGTATCATCTACATATTGATGGTACTTTATCCCGTGCTGTCGTATGATCTCACCCAGCGGCTTCATGTAGATGTTAAATAGGAGGGGAGACAAGACCGAACCCTGTGGCACTCCACATCTGAGGGGCCTAGGGGTCGACCTTTGCCCCCCGACCAACACCGACTGTGACCTGTCAGAGAGGTAAGAGGAGACCCACCGTCGAACGGTGCCTCTCACTCCCA